CTTGAATGAGATTGAATTTGAATCATAACCTCTTGATAGGCCTCTAGAGATGAGAATAATGATTGGTCCCCTGTTGGATGACTTGCTATGCTTATGCTATGCAGATGATTAGACTAGGTACATGACTCTATATATGCAAATGCTTAATGCAATTGAAACATAAACCAAATGAATTAGGTTGAGCAAATTTTAGGGTGTAACACTTCTCAGCTTAAATATGATGTGAAAAGGGGATTTTGGGGAGTTTTACTGTGGTAAAAGATCAATGGACAGATTTGCATTTTCATGGTGATTTTTTGAATCAATGGTTGATCATGAAGTTGGTCCAGTTTAGAAAGTTAGTTCGATTTTGTTCTTCTGTTCATCTAAGTTACTGCAATGGACACAAGTTTGAGAAGAAGGAGAAGTTACTACAATAAAGAAGGAGATAATGTTGTAGTATAAAATGTCTTTTAGAAGTCCCACATTGATTTTTGTATAAGACACAAAAGTGTTTATAAAGCTGAAACAAACACAACAATTCAATTGTGGGTTAGAAAGATGGACGAAAGACATGGGCCAATAACTAAAGGTCCAAAGAGTTTCATTTAAAATTTTGATTAATTAATTAATTATAAAAATTAATAATAAAATATTAATCATTAATTAATTAATTAATTAAAATTATATTAATAAGTTAATTATCCTAGTCAATAAAAAAAGTCTTAAATTAATTTTTTAAAAATGACCTGGCATTAGACACGTCATCTTAAATAGTGTCACATCATTAAAAAAAATTAAAATAGGAGAGGAGACTAAAATCAAACTCAAAAATTAAAAAAGGGACCAAAATCGTGGTTTTTAAAATGGGGGGACCAAAACCCAAAAAAATACAAAATAGGGGGGGGGGCATAGTTGCAATTAAGCCATAGGTTTTTATCCAAATTTTAAATTTGATTTAATCTTATTTTTGGCCCATGGCATGTTAGTTCAGTAGTAAGAGTTTGACTTTATAATCTAAAGAGATAAATTTCTAATCTTATATGAGATAGTTGTTGTTCATACCTGATTCAACTTTAGGATAAAATCAACTCAATATGATATTGGCTTATATTAAAGACGATCAAATCTCAATGCTAACTGTTGTAGACGGTTAGATTTATGGATCATAAGGAATACGAACCACATGAAATAGGTGTAAGATCTCACAACACCTTAAGTTCTACCCAAGTGATACACCTAATCAAGATGAATAATTTAATGAAGGTCGTTAGATGACAATATTATGGGTGTTCACGATGCGGTCTGGGCTGTTTTGACGCTAAAAATTATCTGAACCACAAGAGAAAAACATGTAGTTTAGTTTGATTCGCTTGACTTTTAAAAATAAAATTGAACCAAACCAAACAAAACCAATGCAATTTGGGTTGATTCGGTTTTTTTATAAGATTTTTATTGAGCCATACATACACCTGTAGAGAACAATATAACTTTGTATTTAATCATTCATACACTATCAAATAACAACAAAAGTCATCATATTTATACAAAAACTTCTCATTCAATATGCAAGAATAAGATTAGAAAAAAATGGAATAAAAAACATAAAATAGTAGCATAAAACAATAATAAAAATATTATAATAAAAAAGTAAAAACGTAGGAGATGAGAGGTTAGATAATATGAAAAAGAAAGAACATAAGAGATGCAAGATTAGAAAAGAAAGGTGCGATAAAAACGTAATTGAAAGAGAAAATAATAACATAAAAATGAGAAGATGAAAAATAAAGAACATAAGATATGAGAGATTAAAGTAGAAGATGTGAGATCTACATGGCAAAGAAGATGAGAAGAATGCGCGATACTACTAGGCGAGATTTGAAAAGGTTGAAATTAAAATCCCAAGTGTGAGTAAGAGAATATTTATAAGGTTAAGGCATAATAGGTTTAGGTTTAGGGTTAGATGTGGGATTAGTGAAGTCTGGGTTGTAACATAATGCAGTTTGGTTTAGTTTGGTTTGGTTTGCAAAATACAAACCGCAAACCAAACCGAACTGCGAGGTTTTGTTAAAAAACGGTTCAAACAAATCCAAACCAAATGTGGTTTTTTGTGATTTTAGTTTAGTTTGGTTTGGTTTGCGATTTTTTATTGGGTTGGTTCGATTTTGAACATCCCTAGATGACATAAAGAATAGAATTAAGACACCTGCCCAAACGAGGATTGTTCTGGAACCCTGAAAACTCTAGAATCTACATATAAAAATAGAGTAAGCATCATAATCAAGGAACACATTCTATAAAATATAAAACATTCCTCTCTGTCCCACTCAATCATTGAATTGAGCGCTTGAGTATTTGCAAGTACCACCCCCTTGACTTAAAAAAAAATCCTATCGAAAAAAATATTATTGAAATCCTTAATCCCATTAATGTTAAAATTGTCATCAATATTTATTAGATTCAAATCAGATTAGTTGTAAAATTATCATTAGTAAATAATTATCTAATCCTAATCAAATTTTAAAAGTATCTTTTAATCTCAATCTTTCCTTTTTAAATCAGATGGTTCTTATTCATTCTTACTCCGTCCCATATTATAAGCAAATTTTACTTTTTAGATATATTGAATAATTAATGTATCGGTCTATATGGCATATCTTGTGAGAAAGGGTAAGTTATATGAGAATGTAAGAATATATATTTATATGAGAACGTATCATATGAGAATGCCATTTTTATATGAGAACATGAGAATGAATCTGAACCATTAGATTTTAAAATAAATGGTGGAGATTATGTGTCTGTTTTTTCTCTCTCTCCTCCATAATTTATTTTACTAATGAAGGAGAGAGAAAAACAAAAACTACAAATAATTTTCACAATTTATTTTAAAATCTAATGGTTTGGATTCATTTTCATGTTCTCACATAAAAATGACATTCTTATATAATATGTTCTCATATATATAGGGAACGTATCGTATGAGAATGTTATTTTTATGTGAGAACATGAGAATGAATCTGAACTATTAGATTTTAAAATAAATGGTGGAGATTATGTGTCAGTTTTTTTTTCTCTCCCCTCCGTTATTTATTTTAATAATGGAGGGGAGAGAAAAACAAAAACCATAAATAAACTCTACTATTTATTTTAAAATCTAATGATTCAGATTCATTCTCATGTTCTCACCTAAAAATAGCATTCTCATATGATACACACTCAATATTTTAGTTAATTATATAGTTCAATTACTTGTTTCAATTAATATATTTAAATTATTTCAAATAATTGTATATTTCAATTACACTTTCATTTGAATTATACATATCTCTCACACTTACACTTTTGTTTCATTAATTCATATTTTATATTTAATATTATTAATTTATTATATAAATATGCATCTCATATTAAATAGTATTTATTACATATTTATTTAAAAATATATAATGAAAATAAAAATATCTTGGAACAAATTTTTGGAATTTTGACTTTTTTAATCTTTAACAAAAAAAATAATAAAATAATAATAAAAAAAAAGTAAATTAATAGAAAACTTCTACTAAGTCAGATGCATCAATAAAAAAAAAATTAAAATAAAAAGCATTGATATATCATAAATTCTGGTGACTATATTTCTAAAAGGGTTAAAACAAGAGAATCTTAAAATATTAATGAAATTTTTTTGATTTTGTTAAGATTTTTTTCTTCCAAAAATCGCCCATAAGAAAGGGAAAAAAATACATATTAACCCTATATGATAATCAAGAAGAAATGAATAATACTAAATAAATCACACACATACATACACACACACACACACATATATATATATATATATATATATATATATATATATATATATATATATATATATATATATATATATATATATATATATATATATATATATATATATATATATATATATATATATATATATATATATATATATATATATATATATATATATATATATATATATATATATATATATATATATATATATATATATATATAAAAACTCTTACAAATAAATTTTAATAATTGATCTAATTATAATCATTAAATATTTGGTCGGTGCGAGTATTTTATAATTTTTTTATTTGTGTTATTTTTTACTTTTTAAAATTATACTAGATGCATGTTTTTCAAAATATCCCTAATTAATATTATTAGTTTGACTGCAAATATTTTAAAAAAAGCGGAATAAATCTATAAATAAAAGAGCAATTTATTCATTTTTCTATACAAAATATATGTGTTAATACTTTTTTTCTTCCCTATATTAACTTTTAGGTTCATTTTGCCTTCTTAATTTACGAATAGTTCATATTGATCCCTAAACTCTTCAAAACATGTTATGTTAGTCATTTTCGTTTAATTAGCAATCGAAAAACTAAAAATTCGATCTCTAAAGTCATCGCTAGTTAGAAGAATTGGACTAACATGATATCTTTTGAAGAGTTAAAGAAACAATATAAATTTTTTAAAATTAATAAACCCCTAAAATTAACACACAAGACCAAAAATGGTATTAAACCAAAATATAAACATTAAGTACCCTAGAAACTTTACTTAATAAAAGTGAAATATTCAATATGTCTTATATTTAAAGACGAAGAAAGTGTAATAATTCACAAATATCCAATTATCTCTAACACCGGTGGTTATTATGAAAAACTTATAAAATAATTTTTTTAATTAAAAAAATATTTTTTTTAATTAAAAAAATATATTTTTTTGATTAATTAAATGAAATAATATTCTCAATTCGTAACTCAATCAATCGAGTTGTTACAATTCAATGGTTTGACTACGTGAATATTTTATATGAAATTTTAGTTTTGAGTTGAGTAATACATTTTCCCTTTTTTTAAATGTTTATTTTCATATAGATTGGTCATTAGCTCAATCGCCCCATCACATCAACCAACTATATAAGAACAATATGTGTTACTTCATACACAAAATCAAGTTTCATCATTGTCTTTAGTTTATGTTCTTCTTATTGGGAAACTATGCGTCCACCTGTAAAGAGAATAGATTACGAAATAGGAGATAAAGTAGAGGTATGCAGCAGTGAAGAGGGGTTTAGGGGTTCATATTACGAAGCCACAATTATTTCTCGTCTTGAGAATGGGAAATATGTAGTTCGTTATAAAAACCTTCTTGAAGATGATGAATCTGGACCTCTTATAGAGACACTTTTTCCAAAGGATTTTCGTCCTTCACCACCACATGTTCGAAGTCCTCGCAAATTTCAACTCCGCCAAAAAGTTGATGTTTTTTATAACGATGGATGGTGGTTAGGAAAAATCGTTAGTGATAAGGTCCTCACGCAAAAGGGTCATTACTATAAGGTGTATGTTAACAACATGCGTGAAGCAATTTACTACTCTCGTAAACGAATTCGTGTGCATCATGAATTGATTCATGGAGATTGGATCCTAGAAGCTTAACTCAAATGATCTATCATTAATCAGGTGTATTTGTTCTTGTTTTATTTATAACATTAAAATGAAATTAGATATATGTCGATCTATAAGATCGACAATTAACAATACATAATCGTATTTTGTTGGTTAATATTGTGTTTTTCATTCTCAATTACTTGTGTTGTGTATCTATCTCTGTTCTTTATAAATATATTTGCTTTAGTCAAACTATGTATTATTCTTTGACTGTAGACAAATTATAATACGATAATAACTTATTAATATCGAAAGCTGACAGCAAGATTTTAAAATATTAAATATAATTTAGAAATAAAATAAGAATAAATTTTAAAAAATAAATTAAGATATGAAATAATGGTCAAATTTTAAAGAGAAGTAAGAGTTATAATAAATCTATATAAAAGGTTTATTTATAAAAATGTTATTTAAAAAATATTAAGTTAAATATATTATGGTCAAAACAAGTTTAGATATATAGATTTAAAGATATTTTTGTTGTGAAAGTGATATCCATAAAACGTAGTATGATCGATCAGTTGATTAACAAGAAAATCACAATGTAAAAGAGAAGAGAAAGAATAATCAAAACATACTAAACAATTGGCCCAACAGTCTGCCTCAATCCAACATGCTAATTTAGATAACAAGCTAACATATTTCGATAACTACACTAACTCTTCGACTTCGATAGAGTTTGCTACAATACTTGCTATAACCTATAAGCTACAAATCTCAACCTTGGAACAAACTCTGAACCATGAAACAACTAGTTACTATTATGCAGTCCTATAAATTGCATACAGTGCAAAAACTTGCAACTTAACAATGTCGGTGATCATATCAGCAACATTGTCATCATTCAAAACCTTCAACACTTGGACTTCTCTATACTCGATTATCTCTCTGAAAAAATACAGGCTCACATCGATGTGCTTAATTCACTCATGATAGAATGAATTCTTCGGCAGGTGTATTCCTCTTTGATTATCACATTTAATAGTGATTACTTGACCTTGAAGATTCATCTCCTTAGAAAACCCCCCAAGCCATAATGCTTCTTTCACAACTTTAGTGAGGGCAATATACTCTACTTCAGTGGTTCATAAGGTAACAACCTTATGAAGTGTTTCTTTCCAACTGATTGATGTACCAAACATACTGAACACATATCCAGAAATAGATTTTCTAAAATCCATACAACTTGCATAACTAGAGCCGATAAATCCTTTGATTTCTACTTTTCTATCATCACCATAGGCTCTATCATAAATAAGGACTCTACTCAAAGACCCAATTATGTACCTTAGAATCCACTTCAATGCTTGCTAGTGCGCATTTTTAGGATTGCCATGTACCTGCTTACAAGGCTCACTGCATGCTATGTCTGGTCTAGTGCAAATCATAGCATACATCAATGAACCTACTATAATAGCATATAGAATACTATTCATAGAGGCTCTTTCGACTTCAGTTCTAGGATTTTGAGTCGTACTCAGCTTGAATTAAGGATTAGTCGATGCTATAATAGACTTTGAATTTGACATACCAAACATGTATAGAATCTTCATTAGGTATGTCTCTCGAGATAAGCATAATCTCAACTGCTTTCTATCTCTCTGGATGTCAATCCCAAGAATCCTGGAGGCAGTTCCATGATCCTTCACGTCGAACTCCTTCTCGAGTTCAGCCTTCACCTTCATAACCTTCTCAACAACATTGCTTGTTATGAGGATGTCATCCACATAAAACAACAATATAACAAGTGAACATCCAAGTCAAAATCTGAGGTAAACATATTGGTCGAACTAGCTCCTAGTAAAATCTATGTGTGTCGTATACTTGTCGTATCTCGTATTCCATTATCGAGGAATTTATTTCAGGCCATATAACGACCTATTCAACTTTCACACATAATCTTCCTTTCCCTTTTCTACATAACCTCCAGGTTGTGTCATAAGGACTGTTTCATATAGATCACCATACATGAAATCTGTCTTTACATCCATTTGTTCAAGTTCTAAGTCAAACTTTGCCACCATGACTAACAACATTCTAATGGATCTGTGCTTTAAAACAGGTAAGAACACATCATTGAAGTCGATAATTTCTTTCTGAGTGAACCCCTAGAAACCAACCTTGCCTTAAATCATTTTGACATCACTCATTTGATTCTTTCCTTAACCTTGAAAATCCACTTATAGCTTACTAACCTGGCTACTGCAGGTTTGTCAATCAGCTCCCAAGTGTAGTTATCATGAAGATATTTTACCTCATCAGCCATAGCTTTCTGCCACTCAGTTGTATTTTGACTCCTTATAACTTCTTTATAGTCTATAGGTTCTTCATCCAGAACCTCACTTACAGAGATTAAGGCATACGCTATGATATCTGCATAACCAAGTCTTTGATGTGGCTTGATGACTCTTTTTGACCTGTCTCTAGCCAGCAGGTAGTCATTATCAGTCTCCTCATCTTCATCAGCAACTTGTGCTTGTTCTTTGACTTCATCTGGGTTATGCAATGCAGCATCACTATGCTCCACCACAACAAGAATCTCTCCATGTTCCAAATCTTCTGCAATGATCTCTTCATTTCGACCAACACCATCAATTTTCTTGAATGCCACTTCTGCTTCATTGAAAAATATATCTCGACTTATGATACACCTTCTATTACCTGGATCTAGACACCGCGACCTATAAGCTTTGACTCCTTTAGGGTATCTAAGGAATATATATCTCAAAGCTCTATATTCGACCTTGTCTTGCCTAATATGGGCATAGGCTAAACAACCAAATACTCCAAGTCTGTCGAGATTAGGTGGATGTCCCAACCATACTTCTTCAGATGTCTTAATCCCAAAGGCAGTCGAAGGACACCTATTTATCAGGTATGGTTCAGTTACATCAGCCTCAATCCAAAACACCATCTTCAATCCAGCACTAACTAACATGTATCTCACTCTTTCTAGAATGGTTTGATTTTACCTTTCAGCCAAACCATTTTATTGAGGAGTACTTGCAGTAGTTCTCTGCCTTGCAATACTAAATGCAACACAATAGTCGCCGAAATTCTTCTCTTATTTAGTGGGAGCTAAAATAATTATCTATACCGACCATACCGCTATTAGGTATTTGTTGAGTACGAAGGATGTTAAGCCAAGGCTGTTGAGATGGATTATGTTGCTAAAAGATTTTGATTTAGAAATCAAAGATAAGAAAGGAACTGAAAACGTTGTAGCAGATCATCTTTCCAGACTCGATGTTATAAAAGTCGAACAAGTGCCAATCAATGATGATTTCCCATACGTCCGTCTTATCGGCCAGTTAGGAAATAACACACCTGGGTGCTCTCAATGTGATGACCTTCCTGAGAAAGAAAACTCCAAAATTTAAAATGAAGAAATCATGGAAACACGTTTACTCAATCCACAGTCTCGTGGTATGATGACTTTGTCAACTACCTAGTGGCCAGAGTACTTCCACCTAAATTAATATACCAACAAAAGAAGAAGTTTTTTCATGATCTAAAACAATATTATTGGGATGAGAAAATTTATCCTGTTTATAATTAATAAATGTATGAATTGAAAAATAAGAATATGCCTTCTAAGTTAGGTGACCTTCACTCGGTCGCTTAACCCAACGGTTGTTGAATATGCAAAAATATGATAATAAGCACCTAATGTTAGTTGGTTCAGAGGTCACTGGTATTGAACTTGGTAGGGATGATTACAATCCGATCCTCCGCAGCTGTAATTGGAAGAAAAGGGGTTAAACCGCTTAGTTACCAGAGCCCCGTGTAAAAAGGATCATAGCTAACTGGTTCCCTTACTATGAGTGTGTATAAATAACAAGCTTAATGTGATTGCGCCCGAATAAAGGAGGACGAAAGAGGGATGAGTAAGTTAGGCCTAGGCATAATGACATGATTTAGATTCGTTTGTATAGAAGGGAGATTTATGACCGCAAATGCGAAATTGTGTTGCTACGATATCCTTAGTTCGCGAGCAAGCACCTATCGACACAAACTTAACCGAAGTGGAGTTGGTAGCCTAGGATGAGTATCTGTATGCCATTGTTTTTCTTGCAAGTAATTGTTTGCTTGAGGAAAAGCAAAGGTTTAAGTATGGAGGGGTTTGATAACACAGGAACTACACTATTTTTTTCGACTTGATTTCATATGTTTTATTGCATTTTGTCACATTTTGTAGTGTTATGCTGGTTTTTTTCCATTTTTTTCAGGTTCCTTACAGGTAGAAGCGGTCGTACATAGAAGTTGGATAGAAACGACATAAAACAAAGAAAATATGGTGAAAATACATGACGCCATCCACAGAGCCAGTTGTGACTAAGCATCAGGTGGGGGTCACAAGGAGAGAGAAAGCAACGAGAAAGGCCAAGTTAAAGATGTGTGGCGCCCGCCACAACCCTCATGGCACCCACCATGAGGCATAACTACCACATCCACTTGTTCTGGTCAGGTGGCGACCGCCAAACCGCCCTTCGTGGCCTACAGTTTCGGAAAAAGTGCAGAAAAGCTGACCATTTTCTTCCCACTTCACCTATTCTTCCTCCACGCGAACTAAATATGTGAGGACTTCATCTTTAGTGTATGAGACACTATAAATGGGGGGTTTTAGGAGAACTTTGGGTATCCAAGTTTTTATGCAAAAGCAGTACTCTTAGTTTTAAGCAGAAATTACCATTGAAAAGTAGTATACTTCTCACATTGGGGAGCTACTGCACCATAGATTTTAGGAATTCATCTGTAAGCTTGGATCAAAGCAATCGTGTCAATGTTAGAGTTATTTCCATTATGTTCATTTGTACTTGAAGATTATTTCAGAGTTAATTCCAATTTTATTTTCAGGTTTCTTTATATTGCTACTTTAAGTTGTTTTTACTATAATTGTTTGCAATAATTCAATTCAAATCAATTACCTTGCTGCTGTTAGCTTTAGATATTAAGAATTGCATGCTCATGTTTAATACCATGTCCAA